AGTATTCTGGATGGCAACAAAGCAACAAAGACAATTACTTAGCAGTCCAGGTGTCCTTTAAAGTGCAAAGTAGACAAGAGACAATTGTTGAACTTCATTTTGATCCATCGCAACCACAAGAAGTAAAGTACGTAGTCGCATCGCGATCTATAATGTTGCAATATATAATGTGACGTTGATATTAACGTATTTCTCTCTTTATTAATTTCAGGGATGATAAAGAAGACTAAATTAGATCGAGTTTGCCCTTACTTGTTTATATACGTCTTAAGAAAACGTACGTTTTAAGGAAAGAAAAGGAAGAAACATCCACATCTACATGTACACCATTCACAAAACATATTTACAGTTTACACATACACACGGATGATGTTTGTGACATGGTACTGTAGCAGGTTCATACTTAAAATATAAGATTGGATGGACCATGGCTCTGAGTTTATTACTGGGGGTAGCTTTATAGCTATAATTGATATCTCTGACAGAATATACATGTGAGCTTCAATTAAGAGAGCTACTCGCAAGCATGCGTCGTATCTACGGAGTTTAGTAAATGCAACACCCGATGATTTACGAATGTTTTATGTCCTCGACAGAACAAAAAATTCAATGTTACCTAGCATAAAGGATGCATGTTGATGTTCGATTTTTTCTTTTTTAACAATGTCACTGTTAGTCTGTTCGTAATTTCAACTCTATTTTACAGACGCAGCATTGGTCTTGTGACCTATGTGGCCATTTTAAGCGTGCTCTTAGTCAGAAACAAGTGATACCGTCACTCTCGCGTTACAGCAAAAAGAGAATTTCATATTCGATATAAATGCATGTACAAAAAATTAAATGACATTGAAAATGGATTATGCAAACAAATATAAAAATGTGAATTACATTATTTAATAAATATGACTATAATATGTATCTTCTTTCGATCAGTTCTAGGACTAGGAAAAAATGCTAGTTAATATCTAAACTTAAAAAATAAAGGGAAACTGTAGGAAACATTTCTCACGGTTCCCATAACTGCTACGGGCGACGCTAGGCCAGTTCTTGTGTGTCGCTTAATCATAAGATGTAACGAAAACTAGCAAACACTTCCAGTACGCGACAACCTGCATTCATATGTTTTATCGAACTTGTAAAGGGGATCAGTTGTATGTACAAAGTTAACTTATATTATTATTGACGATCGTATTTTGTCCTTGTTATTAAAAATAGTTCGATCTCACGGTATATTTACAAAATTGCGGTATATTTACTTCGCATGTCGATCTGTAAGAACCAACATAGTTTCGCGATTATTTATGACAAGTAAGAACACATTTGAAATATATACTTGGATAGTTTGTAGTATATACAGTTTGTTTCTACGAAGTGTTGTAAACGGTACATTTAGCGGTGTGTTTAGCTCATAAATTTGATAGATGCGAATTACGGTTAATACATAAAAAAAAATACGAAATTCAATTGTGGTAAATATTTATTGAGTTCTCCCACAATTGTACATTGTACCTTAATCCTACGATGCTTCTATTCTGTTTGTATAATTACTTTCTGCGCACTTTACATAAGTAATATATATCTTAATAGGATCTTTCATCATTTGAGATATTGTGTAAGGAATCAGAAAATATATATCATAGATAGACTGATTTATCATGTAAAATGTGGATGTTTATTGCGGAAAATTTGTTACGTAAATGTTAACACTGTTCAAAAGTTTTTGATTTGTATTGAATCACTTTTTTTCATAATCTTGTATTTCTACGCTAATTATGATTTTATATACCATGACAAAATAAAATGCATTTTACTTTATAAGCGATGTTATGACTTAAGAAAAATTGAATCCACATTTAGTGATATCAAATAAAACTTCCAATTTCCAATTGATGTTAGCATATTAAGCATTAAGTAAAAAATGGACAGACTTATATATACATTTCGTAACAATACATATATTAATTTAATGTATTTAATATCTTTTCTCCTCCTTTCCCACAAATGAATATTTTTGTAGATGATAGCGTTTCGTTATTAATATCAAATAATTCACATCTGGTTAATTTCAACGGAACGAGCATATCGCATTATTTTTTTTAAATCAGATCATTCCTTCATTTTATTTGGTTCATTAAATCGCAGATTTCTTTTAAGTATATTAATTACTGATCCCGTTGTTAGATTAAAGCTGAATAAATGTACATTGTCTATATCTATAATGTGATATGTGGAAATATACCATTATTCAAGAAGTACTCCGATATGTGTGGCAGCATAAATTAATTCTCAGTAATTTGATACCCAAAACTACTAACTGTTTTACTTTTCAATTTCTTGGGAACACGTTACCTTGATTGTAACATGAGGAATAGTCAGAGGATTAAGAATTAATAGTTAAACATCTTATCGCCGTACAGACAGAAGTTGTAGAAGTTGTACAGTTGTAGAAGACTAGATCTCAAGTTTTTTTTTCTGTATAAAGTACGGAATGACCAGCATTTCAAAATTACTGTAAATATAATTATTAAAGAGAGCGACGAAAGTATCAAACTTTCATTATCGTCCTGATTGTGCTTTCTCAACTTGTGAGCACTACGTGCTTAATCTACCTTTTGTGCATATATATATGTATAAAAATATTAAATAACTTATACAGAAAAGTTCTATATCAAACGTGAACAAGACATGTGATAGTATTATTTTTCAACTACGAGCTAAAGATATTCAATCAACAAATTTAATTACAATATAACAAAGGTTAATTTAATATTTCAAACTTAACAAGTATATTAAGAGGTAATGGTAGCTGGACACTGTATGCGTGATTTACATAACAATGTAACGATTGGAGATAGAGATAAAAGAAGAGAAAAATTGAATAGTGCAAGACCAAGTCAATTGTCCCGAGTGACTAATTTTAAATAAAATTCACGAAAATGTAAATTTTGTGTAACCAAATATCATAAAAGTTCAATAAGACGACATCAAATTCAGTAAAATAATCTCACATATTCTAAAGTACCAGTTACCTCGAATATCGATTACAAAAGTACCTTTTCTCAATCCCAAAATACCGTCCATATATTTAAATCGATTATAAATTTACTTCATAATCAAAACTTATATTTACCTTAATCACATACGCCAATATTAATAAAATATTGTAATGATAAATCTGTTGCACTTCTTTTTTGGTCGTGTGCCAATGCCTAATATTAAATAAAATCAAAATGTAATAAGATTTTTATGTTTATAACTCGCGTTAAGTAAGTGTAAAAATATGCACGAGTCATAAATAGAAATAAAAATATATAAAAAAATTATACTAAAATATTTTCATGAATTTATGTTAATATTCAGCATGCAGAAATAATCAAGTGTATCATATTCTTGTTTCTTTTTATAGTTTTGGATAAAAATAGATGCTAAAAGATCGTTCTTAAAAATGTACATTGTCGAAATATCTTTTGTTAATGTTTTACAAAACATATGAGGTTCGAAAATATTTGATTTCTAAATAGAGAGAAATAGATCAGGTCTCTCAAAATGTTAAATAGAAAGTCAAAAATTCTACAAGGTATTAATTCTCTCTAATACACATATTCACGTATATCACAAGATGACAGTTTTACTATTACCAAAATTGGCAATTGTTTTAATAATCCATCTAAAATCCCGGTTCCATCCTGACCGATAACACGCTGCTAAGCATATCGCGAATCTCTGCCACCTCCCTCCTACTTCTCGCCAGCATATCCTCTAATCTCTTATTTTCCTGCTTGATCTTTTCGATCCTTTTCCGATATTTCCGTTTGTTAACGTAACAACAACAATCCGGACAGTTTTTGCCATGCTTACAATCTTTACATACTTTACCTTTGTAACAACAAGCTTGATTATCTTCCGTACAAGAATGATCGCTCGACGCCGAGTCTTCCTGTGCACTTTCAGAGCATTCTAATCTATCGATAGATTCGCTAACATTCGATGGCGAAGGCATGTTGTTAGGTTTACTAAACGAAGATTCCGTGTCTATTTTTAATTCCAGATTGCTTTTATCTTCGGTTGACTCGAATGATTTCGGTATATTTAATAGTGTACTATCACTCGACACTTCCTTATCTACGTTAGGTTCTATTATTACTATACTCGGAATGCTAGATCTAATAGGACTTAGATCGCAATAATGCATTGCGGTTGTATCACATACTCTAGACTGTCTTTTGAAACTTCTTCTCTTTTGCATTAACGTGTGTTCCTTGCTTTGACGTTCAGCAATGCGCATTGCGCCATCGCTGAATCGTCTCCCATAAAACGTTTTGTTTTTTAAGGGTTTCATGTCACACGAACCATCGCTAGCCCTTCGAGTATCAGAAAATTCATGTCTTCTGGAAGTTGTATCTGATGAATCATATTCTTGTTCCCTATCGTCTAGATTTGCGCCACTTTGAGCAATATTTAAGCTATTCTGACTCCCCCGATCATCTTTTGATAATAATTGGTCAGTTTCAGGAAAATCGACGGTATCGTCAAACGACAATTGTTTCGCTAGCTTCTTGTCGTACTTTGAAAAATATTGGTGTTCGAACGTTATACTTCCTTCTGGAGACGATTGCTTTAATTCTATGGATTCGCTGGTATCCAGTGAGCTATTGTGATCGTTTACTGTATCGCACGTAAGATTTGTATCACTGGTAGGTATTTCGATCAAATTTCCATCGTATCCGAAAGCAAATGATTTCTGCCCTGCAAGAGGGGAGAAAGAGCGTTTCATCCATTTTATAGAAAAATAAAATTAATTGAATGTCAATTAATTTTACTGAAATTTTATTTGCACCAGATTTCTCATTTACCTATGATCATACGCTTGTTGCGCATATCGGGACTTTTGGAACGTGGCTGTTCCAGGAACTGTCTGTTATTAGGAGACAGCACAGAGAGTTTTCCATTCTGATCCATTTGCAATGAACTGTGCTGGTCGCAATTATACAAGCTCGTCGTATCCGCTTCGTGACTTTCATGCTCCCGCAAACGTTCCATAATCTTTTGCACAATTTCCGATGGGGCTACATATGGCGATCCTTTCAAAAATAAAAAAAAAGAATATTACTATATTCATTATGGTCTATTGCTATAATAGCAATTGTCATAAAACTACATATGACGCATAAAATACATAAAGTGAAAATAACAGAATACATATATACCCCGGAAACGATTGTATAACATACGTGCACACATTCTACCTATTAGCGGCGTATATAACTGGATATTTTTAAAAGAGATTATTGCACACAATTTAGAAAACTAAATGCTATTTTATCATATAAGTTAATGTATGTATCAGTATCATAGAAGAGAATGTATTTCGGCTCTATCGCTAAAAGTTTGCACTTTAAATTCGTACTCTTAATGCATTAGTACACATTGTTGCATCACTCTTGCATATTTCATTATTATTCATGCAAATTATTTTAAAACTCAGATAACACGTAACTAATCGCACGTCTACAACCAGTACAATCTATTTTTGTGCGTATAAAATTATCGAGCGTTTGGAAATTTTAGAAGCATAAGTTTTCGCAACATAATACAAAAGAAATGATAAATTTCTACATAAAAATAGCACATCGTACGTCAATTGACTATACGCATAAATTCAAAACCAACATAAGCAAAAGAAGCTGTAAATGTTTACTAAAATAAAACATAATATAAACAAAACCAAAGGAAACAGCTATGCGTTTCTAGATAAATTCAATTAAACTGTCTTTAAAGATAACAAAACAGATCCTGACCACAGATTCTCACGCGAGACTTACAAAATTACTTGATCCGAAGTTTCTGCGCTGTCGGACACGTGTAGGCACGCATAACGCGTTATTGCTTCCTACAAAATTATCATGCTATATGGCAAAATGTTTACGGATATATTCTGTACCCAGAAATATAGATTTAATAATCATCAACTTTATATAAAAATGCTGTCATTAATTTATTTGTGATAATATAAGTATGTTCTTATTGTTTTTAAAACGTAGATTCTGAGACTGACGAATTCCAAAATTATCCGTAAGTTTGTTTCCATAAAAAGAAGTTGAATCTCTTGTTGAATGGCATAATCGTTATCATAATTATTACTACTGAAAAATCCATTTTACCCATTAGGCCTCTATATCCTAAAGATACTGAATCAAAAGATTCGGTGGTCTCCTGTTGTTGCTTAAGAAAATCATCTATGGCGATGCCTGGTAACGTCGACGGCTGTAGGAACCTTCTAGGAATGCGAGAAATTGTACCGTTCTCCTGCGGACTGGCCGAGGAACCGCCGAAGCCGAGATCGAGCAGAATCGCAGCCGGATCCGCCCTTCGCAGTTCCAATAAACTCTCGACGCTGCTGCAGTGACTGCTGTCCGACTGAAAACTCGCGTCTCGCGCCAGTCTCTGATGAGGAAGCGAACTGAAAAATTCAAACGGATATTCAAACGTCGATTTAACGTCGATTGTTGTAACTGACTTGTTGATTATGAATATTTCTCGGTACCATGGTAATATCGGTGTATTCATTGCTGGAGAATTAGGAACATTAATAGGCGCCGATACGGTCATGCTTGGAGACTTTAAATCTTTAGAAAATGGAATGTCCTTAGGCTCGGTTGGTGTTAACGGTTTATGCTCATGGCTCCGGCTATCTTCTTGGCATTCGCTCGCAACGACGATGTCCGACCTCGCGGACGACGGTATGGAGTCAATCCATTGTTGAACAGGTCCGCTGGCACGCCGCCTCATTTCCCAAATTCCACGCAACCAATCTGTCACTTTTAGAATAGTTTCCTTGCCCACATTCTCTGATAAAACATACAAGACGTTCGTAAAACGATTCGGCACGTCAGCCACATGTCAATTAATAAAATCACGTGCACATAATGCTTAACCAAACTGATATTCTTGAGCACCAACGAGTTTGTCTATGAAATAAAAAGGTCAAAATGCAAATGATCAGATTTCTGTTGCGCGAGGTAATATTGAAGTATAAACTATTGTGAGAAACATATGGGATATTTATCTTTCTCCTATCGTTTTTACAATACAATTACAAAATATCTCAACACTTGAAACATTAAGAAAATTATAAACTTACAAAAGTAATTCGGACTTGTAAGATAATTCACATAACAATATTGCTATAATCTCTTCTTTCTCTCTTTTATTTTACTCTAAAATTGTATTGTACATTATCATTGTAATCATAATATTGATATGACAATTAAAATATACACTACTGAGAGCAATGTAACATATGTAAATTCTATTTTCTTTCGTAGACCTTCTCCGATATTTTTCCACGATAAAATTGCGCGTGCAGAGTGCGAGAGTCTAAAAAGAGAGACATTCAATGTGGACTGCGCCTAGCAATTTTAATGTAAACATTATAATGATAATGCCGATAACGAAAGCGTGTTTCTGCACATGCACATAGCTCGAGAGTGACGTCACACGTGCGAGAAACTCTGTTCCCTGCGACAAAAAAAACTTGAAGGATACTCCAATCCTATATACATCTCATCGAAAATGGGGCGCATGATCCGGTCGAGTAAATACCTGGGTCCATATCCTGAGCAGCACAAGGACAGAATATCGAATAATCGTAAAAGAGAGAGAAAGACAGAGAAGAGGAGGAAGAGAGAAAGAGCTGCGTGAGAGCACGTGCCGTGCAGTACGCAACGTAGTTAAATAAGCTCGATCGCGTTTGCACGCGGTTGCGAAACCGCAGGGCGCGGAGGACCCGCGCGGTCGGGCGGAATGTCCTTACGTACCTGCAATCAGGCGGATGAGCCGCGCGGCATTGACGGCGATGTCCCTGCGGTGCAATCAAGCAGATTTATCAGAGCGACTCGAGGCGCATGTTGCGCGCCCGACGAGAGCGATTCGCTTGCGGCGCGGAGCGATTGAGACTGCTCGACCCGCGAGCGCGCGTCCACTTGTTAGCGTCCGTGACACTCCGCACGCCCGCCACGTCATGTGCGTGCCCGGAGACCAACAGTGGCGGATAAATTAGACGCGGGTCAGGTCCCCCGACGAAAGGAAATTCCACACGAGACTTCTATTGATAAAAGTTTCCTCCTCAATTCGTCGAAAGAGAAAAGAGTTGATGACGCAAATTCAATGAGATGCAATGATCGATACGCGAGCATCCCAGAAACCCAAACCGGTTTGTTGCGAGTAAAATGCAAAAAATTGTCAAAGGTGCTGAAATTAAATTTACAAAACATGGACTCGATCTCGGTTTGGCTTCTGAAAAGCTCGATGTATCTGTCTGTGCATTCAGAAGTGAAAAGGTCCGAACTTGAATTAATTTTCCTGCGATCACAGGCAGATCCAAGTGCCTTTTAAATCGCGAGGTAACCATATCGCCGGTCGCTCTCCAATTCACTCGCAGACTCCTTGGATATGCGGGAGCAGAGAGCGTTTGCCAGCTTGCCACTCGAGATCCGTCGACGAACTTTCCGCCGCTGATACCAGATGACATTCGAATGCAGAATGCGGAGCCTCGAATTGACGTGATGCATTTTACCTTCCGCGTACGTTCTGCAAAACGAAGACGAATGAACGTTGGAATAATTGTAGACATTGGCAATAATCGAAATGTAACAGTTTAGGCGTCATTAGGCACCGTTAAGCGTCACGTGTCTTCACGTGCGACCGAAATAAAGTCCTTCCGAGCCGAGCGCATCGCATTTCGGTCCAGATTTGCCATCGAGAGCAATCGAGAGTCTCTCGCTGGCTCTCGCGAGACGAGAACTCGGACTTCCCTTCTTCCAAACGTTTCAGCCAAGTTTTCCTTGGGCTTCGCAATCTACAGAGGATCAGGTTTGTTGACACGCGGAGTCTCCGGAGACGCGTTTCACCCGGAAGCGAATCCAGCTTGCCGGCAGGCAGGCACCAGGCACGCATACGCATCAGATGTCGCAGACGCCGCCGCCGCCGCCGCGCGCGCGCTGACCCTCACAGCTGATGCGCGGTGACGTCACTGAAACAAAGCCATGCGCGCTCGGGCGCGCGGAGAGCGCGAGTCGCGAGAGCGAGTTGTTCCGCGACAGGCGCAGCGGACGCGCGCCATACATTCGGCGTCCGCGGACACGGCGAGGTGCCGTCCTGCGCCGTCTCGGTGTGTTTGCGAGTGTCGCGCTCGAGCCCGTCGCCGCTCGTCATTGTCGTCGTCGTCGTCGTCGTCGCCGCTCGCCCGCCTGGTCCAGGATGCCGTTCATATCCAAGGACTGGCGTAGCCCGGGCGAGGAGTGGGTGAAGACGGTCGAGGGCTGGGAAAAGAAGAAGATCCTCGAATGCGCCAACAACAAAACCCTCTCGCTTCTCCTACGGTACGTCATTGTCCCCGTCGCGCGCTTCTCTTCTCCCCCGCTCGTCCACTGGCCCGTCTCTCTCCCGCTTCCGCCTACGCTCCTCTCTCCGCGTCAGCTTACCTCCGCGTTTCTTTGTCCGTTTCGCGACTCCGCTCCGCGCGGCGCACACAGCTGTTAACTACGTTTACATCGATCCGACTGACAGCTCCGTTTGTTTACATGCGAGCGCGAGGCATCCTCTCGCGCGCGCGGCTGCTCGCCCGACTCCATTTGTTGTCGCGAGTACGCGAGATACATTTCTGATAAGTACGACGACGACGACGAGTCCGCAATGGTCCCCCGAGAAATCGAATTCATCCTCGTTGCGGCTGCCGCGCGTTTCTATTTCTCCGTTTAACGTTCTAACCGTTTCTACGTCCCGCAGCCCGTCACGCTTTACAATTTACATGACGAAACCCCTCTGTAACAGTTATAGTATAATTAATCACACATGAACGTCTAAATCAAACAAGATAAGAACGTGGAACGTAGGAACGTTACTCGATTGCTATACTCGGTTTTCACCTTTGTCGGCGATATTTTTCACAGGGTTTACAGCTACTCGTCAGCTCGTACAATTCACGATTATCACGAGGCTGACGAGCAGTGTCCTTGCGCGAGTCGATTGCTGATCCTGCGGCGCCGCGACCCCCGCGGGTGATACCATGTTATCCGCGACTGGCTCACGCGATACAGATGATTTTCACGTTCGCGTGCAGAGTAATGCATAATATTATTCAAATTGACCTGCAATACGTGATATACGACGCAGAGTTACAGTTCGTTCCTTTTAGCTGCACAGCTCTTCCGTCTCCTATATGGAAGCGACAAGGACGTGCTGCGGCTCTCCACTCCTAAAAACGCGAATCTAGTCGAATTTTTCATCCACCTCGAATCAACCGATTCGATAACTGAAATGTCAATAAAAGTGAAATGTAAAAAATAAGTGGTAAAAGGATACCTCCGAATAAAACCGCTGTTCTTTCGGGATAATGCGAGAAATGCGGGGAAAAACGTGGAGCGCGGACAGTAAAGAGGAACAGGCCTGTCGTATATCGTCCAGTCATTTTTTCATCGCGTTATCTCCTCGTTCTCCAGGTCGACGTGATTGAGGCTCGAATTGATCGCCGCGCTGCGGCCCGCGCTGGGTGATGCCATTTCTAGCATTTCTCTCTCTCTCTTCGACGTGGAAGCAACTTTTCGTCTCTCTGCAACGCGTTACAATAAATGTATTACCAGAATTGAAATAAAAAAAACGAGATTCCCAGGGGTCAAATTTTTTCAACCTCGAATCAAAATTCCGTTTAATTCAAAGCCGGACCCAATAAGTAATCTCGCGTTAGCGAGACATTTCCTGCTTCTGACATTTTCAATTTGCGACGGAAAATAAATGTGGGAACCTGTTTCTCTGTGTAATATAGCGCGAATTGGAAATAAAAGTCATTTTGCAGTCACCACGGCGTGATATTTCGCGCAAAAATCACGCTCACTCGGTGTCGAAACCGATTCACGTGCGTCGAGATTTTTGTCGGCGCGATCAACCTGAACGCTTTACGCCGCGATTGTCCGAAAATCACGCGAACGGTATCGAGCTGGTTACGCGTAAAAGAGAATCGGATTTTTCTTCCATACACCCGGCAGCGTTAGATTATCTCGCGAAAGAGTTCACACCCACGGGATTTCCTAACATTCAGTTTCCTAAGAATTAATTAGGCGTTAATAAGAGTATTGGCGTGTTACTGAGTCTGTATTGTTTTTTTCCCGGGAAAGAACGTCGATTCCCACTTAAGGGCATTCGCGACAATAATAGAAGCCGTTTATTATTTGAACTAAACTGTGTCATATTCTTCTAACACCTTCATTTCTAAAGAAAAAGTATCTACATGGTTTTTAAAATATAATAAATTAAAATATAAGAAAAGATAGATAGAGTGGATCTCTACAAAATGGATAGTGGATTATATAAATTTTAAATCAGTTCTCTTTCAGAATTAAATCATTGCAAGTAGACTGGAGAATATGTGTAAATAAAGAAACTATATCTCTCTCCCTCGAGCAAGAGAAAGACGTTGATTTATGAGTGCTTGATTAATGAATAAAAACTAATTAACGTGTTTCTATTTTATCTCTTTGATTTTCTAAAAATGTACAGTCCATAATGATGCCACTTTTAAAAATACATCCCTCCCAAGCAGAAAAGATATTGACCATGCATCTATAAAAACTTTTTGCTAGAAATTAAGTTAACCTACTCTCCAGTTCTATTTATGCGATCGTTTAAAAATGCACTACATATTTTTCACTTTTTTAAATATATTGCGAAATGATTGCGAATACAACTTTGTTTCAAAGTTAATCTAACGAATATATTCATTAATTCGAAATTTAGAACTGATCTCTGTACGTGTGTTAATTCAATCCGAATCCTGCGGTCTCAGGATTCGGATTAAATCAATAGCTTGCAATTATCTCGAGATCTGTCGAAGACATACATCGGCGGTTCGGGCGTCCTTCGGGACGACCGCCGGTCGCGCATCGCGATTTCTTCGACCGGATATTGAGCCTATTGTGCTCGTTGCACCAGTTGTGTTTGCGGCCGTGACAGACTTAGATAATTAGAATCGCCGGCGCATCGAGCGCGCGCTCGCTGTCAAAGAATCGCACCGCGACTCTTTGTTTCCGCTCGCGCACACGCATCTGGAAGCAGCTGTAACCGCGTAAACATTCTCCTTCCAGCGACTTATATTACGCCTCGTAAATACCGCGTCTGGCGAGCGAGAGCCAGCACGTGCGATCTTATTGAGAGTGGATACGTGATCGATCATTCTTGCCACTTGCGCGTTTTTAATTCCGCTTGCAAATTCGACTTGCGAAATCGAGAGAATGACGCGAATTACAATTGATTCGTTCGCGAGAACAACGATCACGACCGGACGAGACGGCTGCGCATTTTACAATGCGGCACAAATTCAGGCTACAATATTTTGAATTTAAAATTATACATTCCACGGTTAACGCATTATTAAATAACTTTCCAAAGCCGAAGCCTGACTGATTTCTAGATTACGCTTGGCCAAAAGCTTTCTCTTCTGGAAGGCGCTCGACGTTCTTTCTCAGGAGAACTACAATACAGACTTATTGTCAGTAGCGTCGATATCCGTAAATCGTCGATTTTATGTCGGTTATGGCAATGCGCAGTAGGCCGATCGATTCGCAATGCGAACGTGATAATTGCTTCTTATTATTACGCTTCCGTGGCGGCTGAAAGTTCTACAAGGCAGCAAAGCGCTGCGTAATGCTGCTTCTACGTATTATCTCTAGACAATAGTCTCTGCTAAAACCGAGCTCACTTCTTCTTCATCTGAAATCTGATAATTAATTTTTTATAAGTTTAATCGATACGACATTTGACGCTTAATACTTAATTGCAACGTAACTCTATACCTAACTCCAAATAACGATAATTACTACATAACGCGAAGTGCGAGAAGTTTGTTAATTTGTCGTGAATCCGCTACAGATTTGCAATTACGTGTCCTCTAGAAATAACTTCGCGACGTAAACATTCATTTTGAATAATAAATGGGACAAGTAACGTTCATTTGCCGGAAATGATAAAACGTTACATATTCATTAATTACATTCATATATCATTAAAATCGCGATATCTAATTGCTTCAGATATCTTAATTACAATTTAAAAGACAGTAAAACTATGTATCTAATTGCATTTCGTATATATAAGCTTATCATAAACGTCATCTGTCTATTTATAGTTATTATCACGTGTCGCACATACTTATCTTTCATTTATTAATTATTCGTTGAATAAATACGGCGCGCAAAACAGATGCACGAAACTCTTTCGTTCACGATGCGGATGTATCTCGCGTTTAAGTATTTCCATTTAGATCGCCGCCGGACTGACGAACATTTGGCATTTCTCGTGTTGTTTGAAATATTTATTTTTCAAGTCGTGCAATCCTGCGTTGTGTCCTTTGCGATTCTAATTAATAGCGCGTGCGTGCGTGCGTGCGTGCATGCATGCGAGTGGGCATCCGGATTTTTTTGCGAGCATAAGAGTCTTGAGCGTATATACATATGTACACTCAACAGGCAATCTGGAACCCTTTCATTAGTGCATTGCGTTATATCGTAAATATTCTTGCCATGAGCCATGTTAATTTATGCACACTGAATATGCCTGTTATTAACGATGTATTAACGATCATTTATTTTTAGAATAAATATAATATCGTCGAGTTAATAGCGCAGTATAGTTCCGGAATATTATACACAACGACCCAGTTACAAATTTTCTTTATAATTAGTATGGTTTTCACATAATGATTATTTCATAGATTACGTTAGCGAAGAGAAATATTTCGAAATGCAAGTTACATAATAGAAAGCACCATTACAGGTCTCGTTACAAAACATATGCAAGAATTCACGTATAGTATTCTGAATTTAATTTGACGTGCGTTATAATAGATTGAAATATTTCCTTACATTTGTTTCCGGATATATTCTCGAGACGTTTGAATTTTTCAAAGGAATGACCGTCGATATATGTAATGTGAAACTGACTTGAGGTTGCACAGGAGTTTCGACAGAGCGCTCGACTTCGTTGCGCTTTCTCGCACTCGCACTCGAAAAAAAAACCGTCTTGCCGGTTCTTTCCTTTCACGCTGAGTGAAGACGTCCTACGGAATTAAAATTAAAAGTTAACAAAGCTTACTGGAAGCTAAGGTTGGAAATATCGCTAGTAGATTAAAATTCAATAACACATTCATGTTATATCTATGATAATATTTGTGATATAAATTGATCGTTTGGACATTATTGTTGAAAAAAATGCGGCATCCAAGTTCGTCGAATAATCTTGCAATGCAATGTAAGTCTATGAACTTTAATACGCAAACAAAATTGACCATATTGAAAGTTTAAACAATTTCTTTTAAGGAAGTAAACAGAATTAAAAGCACGATAATCGTGCGCCTCGACATTGACAGATCCGCGAATCTCTTTGGATCCGGCGGAGGAACCGTTTCGCGTTCTCGCAAATGAGATTAGGCATCTTTGAGCGGGCTAGGTCGAATTCTCAAAATGGGAAAATACTGGCGCGTGTCTTGCCGGTGCGGAAGTGGGTCGTGACCCAGCTACTATAACGTGACCTGCGCCAATTCGCAATTCTCTCCACAGCATACGTACGCAGCCTTGATAAATTCGGTTAGACGGCGCGGCCCCGTCGTATGTGGATCCGCGTCGGATAGCTGTGGTCCACGATATTTTGCTTTCGCGCAGTAACGACGGAAACTCGGAAAATGGGATACGAAGAGAGCGTGTCTAGCATTTCTTTTTGTTTTTGTAATGCTTAATAAAAGATCTCTCTTCAATCCCTTTTATCCCTCTATTATCCCTCTATTTATCAACTCTATTTATCCCTTCGTTTCTCGTAAGAGTGCGCGACGTATTCGGAAGAATTTCTTCAAATGAAGAAATAATATCGTCTTCTCTTTCTGAAAGAAAGCCATAAGGAATGTCTTGTTAAATTTAAAAGCATAAAGGCATTTATAAAAAATATCTCTGCGCTGGGGATCGGAGTCGGCCTGGTTGCCGTGGATTAATGGGGCACCTTTTCTGCGGATATTATCACGTCGCGCGCACATAATGATCCCGATACAGTTAGACGAAATGACTGGAAAGTACGCGGACTGTTTGCGTGCGGAAGGATCTAAAGGCCTGTTTTCTCCATTTCCCTCGTCGAGTTAACGTACACGGCCGATGCGCCCGCCCGCGCCATTATTTCAACGATTCAACCGTATAGCCGTCCTACGCGCGTTTTCCCAACCTGGACGAGATTAGACGTGGTGCGCGCACCACAGAAGGGGGTCGGTGAACTCGGTGGAAGTAAAAGTTTCGTACCGGCCCCCGATCTCTATATCCGCGAATTAATTATTCGCGCGTTGCGAGGTATATACAGCTGCTCCGCACTGTATTTCTTTTCGTGCGGGATTATCTCGTGTAAAAAATCACCGCCTATCCGTCTTCATCGTCCAACTTACATATTGCAGGCTGGCCTGACCTGCGAACGTTTGTCACGAACGTTGTTTGAATTAAAATACTAAGTACGTGATAAAAACATTAAGTAAAACTTATTAAAACGAAATATTAGAGCACTAAAAAGATATACGTTTAAAAGAAATAAAGATATAGCAGATATAACAAAAATGTATGTATATATTTACATGTGTATTCTCAAGGGAAAAATAGATAAAATCACTAATAAGGATGTACATACACTTTAACTTGTGTTTTACTTCAGCATTCCGACTTCTTACGCTTCTTTTGTGATTTCCTCTATTCTTGGCCGATCGTACATGTACACGTCTCCTGTGTACACACTGTGTGTGAATCTCTCGTTTCACGAGGAGCTCAATAATCCTCGAAAACAGTCTTGTTATTTCCCGAAATAACAGAGGGATTTGTCAGACAGTCAACAACGGAGCTATATTCAGTCGAAATTCGAACATAGTCTTGTGAATCTTGTTAGCTATCTCGTTGCCGAATTTTGTCGTCGAAATTACGGCATTCTCTGCATTGCTGTGAGCCTATTTTTCAACATCGGAAATTCCTCAAAATTTGCCTCTGCTTTTTTAGAAATTTTCATTGGGATGTATCCAACCCTCGGCCGTTTTGTATCGTAAAAGCGAACGGCGCAATGATACTTCGAGTGCGGAGGATACATTTGTGTTGTACATCAGTCTCCGTATACTGCAGGGAACTAAAATAACCGGTGTCCTTCTGCGGCTCGGAACTAGAAAGAGAAATAAGGGAATGAAGAGACCGCAGAACTTTCTAAGCCATATTTATCTTCTATCAACGTATTGTAGTTATAACTTTGGAACTATGTCACTCGCTAATAATTTCTACACGATAAATATTATCGAGATAACATTTAGCGGAGTAAAAACCTGTTTATTATTATTCACGAAACCATAAAATTTTTTAGATTACAAATTAAATACTTTCAAAACGCAAAGGCTTTCGTTCTTAATTATTTATTATTCATAAACTGCTGCTCTAATCGTTCAATCAACGTTTGCTCCAATTTATTATCCTATTATTAAAATAAAAACGAGCAATCTCTTGACACCGTAAATAATATGACGTCAAAGCGTATATTCCGATATATGATGTCTGTCCTTCTATCCTCAAGCCATAGAACATTGACGTGACATTGATCGTTCCAGTTGCAAGTTATCGATATTGTGCCGCCGGGGAATTTTCCGCATTTACGGTTCTTTATTCGTCGTACGCGTGCATGCGCGTGTCTACAGTTGATCTCATAATAAACGCTACAAGTAGTTACGTAACCCCGTGGACTAATAACACAAGATATCCTCCTCTCCTCTCCCTATCTCTCCGTCTCTTCCCCCGGCATCGTGTATTAATGTAAAGTCCCCTATGGGCAATTCAATGACCTTAAACGCCTCGCCGAACCCTGATTTGAAAGGACAAGGACACGCATCGCCGATCGATGTGTTAAAATCGAAAATGCTCTCCCGCATCCAGTCTCGCTCATGCGGAAAAATCAGAACTACGTCCCGCACACGAGGTTGTTGCAATGTGCGAATGTATATGCACGAGTTAACATACAAGGTCGTCGTTGCGTCCCTATAATAGAACGTTCGTCGCCGTCACTTGCGTAGACAGAATCATAAGCGCGACGAGAGTAGTGCGACGAAATGTACCTATAGACGTTTGGGAAAAAAAAAAAAGAATTATCTTAAATATTTTAAGACAGTTAATTAGACTTATAAGAAAGTTTATCGTTACATCTGAAACGATGTAACGATAAACTTCTAAGATTTAGTAATAATATTTGCTAGAGGTTCCTAGCGCAAAGGATCGAGGCATGAATTTGCGATTGTATTTCTTTAGGATTCGCAGAATGTTTTCTCTTTAACGAAAATTGTCTAGAGAACTCTGCTACAAATGACAGAGTATCCTATGAAGAAATCTAATATCTCACGATTCTATATTCAAATTGGATATGTAACGTTTGCCAGATTCTTAAATCTCTGCAATTGCAGATCGAGAATGTCCAAGCCTTAAAAGGAATCGAGTTTCTATGCAGGTATTTTTATTAGCTGAAAGCATGAATATAATCGCGGAGAAGAAATCGGAACGCATTATATGTAGCAGCGCAGTTCGATTGCTATCTTCGTATCGCGGTCTTCGTATTTTAAACCGGCTTATAAAGGACTAGATTTAATGAACATCGATCGCGGATGCTTTGAAACTTCTAAAATAACAAGGACGACCGCGTTTTGCGTCCTGACAGTACTTCGTGCGAATTAGTCCTCAACATTTTAAAGATGAGAATAAGTCTTACGCATGCCGGCGCTCGTATTCGAACTCCTTTCTCGTAAGCAGAACGCGATGTAATCTGGCGACAGTTAAATTAACTGATGTCGCGTCTATTAAGAGGCTATAGAGTCATTCTGCGGTAACGCGCGATGTCTAATGCGATTTGCTGCAATTCCGATGCATTTTTCCGCTTCCTCGGACTTCTCATGCGCCGCAACTGAAATAAGAACGTTATTGTAGTCGAATGAAAGTGGCCGTTAATATGTCTACTTACGAGGTGTGTCCACGTTAATTATGATCGGCGTGTTATAAAGCAATTACGGTCTCTATTGACGACGAGTGAAGGTACCACTCTCGAGACGGTTTCGTTGTGGCCTGTTTTACTGATTATACCGTAGACACGAACGCCCACGCGTGTTTTCCTTCTTTTTCGTCGAATACCAAAGTCGAATACATACGACGATAATATTAATAACTCACAGTCACTTTTAGTAATAGACTATATTCATTTTCTTGAGCTGCGCTGTGGATACAAATTAAAAGTTCATTGTTTTCTATTGATACAAAACAAATATCAGTTGTTAGATCCAGTTATTAGTTGTTTAGATAAATAGCCGGAAAATAAAGATTTACTTGTCAAGGTATTTTAATCGATATTATTAAGAATTGACAATTATTATCTCGAAATAATTTAAACTATTAATTATTGCTAATATTATTATTAGAGAATTTTTTATAAAAATAGTTCAATATAATAGTCTTACATACACTGTATGTGCCTCTGCCATTGTGAAACAAAATACTATGAGAAAGCCTGTAAGAAAATAAGGGGTATAAGCCCTGCGAAGCTATTTCCTGAATATTATTAACCACGATAGTCTTTCCATAGTCGAACCGAAGCTAACTCCGTTGAGACGTAGCAGCGAGTCCGCTGAAACCGGTCGCGGTGTATTGTGCCATAATTGGGATCCGTACATTAGTGCCTCCAGCATCGCACGAAGTATCTTCCTCGCACTTCTATCGGCACAAGATAAATCATGGGTTTATAAGATAAATTATTCTGCAGATAAACAAGATAAATCAAATTTTACCCCAAAAAATGTTCATTATATTTCGAAAAAAAAGACAAAGTGCAACGGTGTAAATAGTAAATTATTGAGCGCGTTTCTTTTTGGAATTGGAAATTCTACGTTTGCGTCTTTGTTTTTAGTTTTAATAAATTTTTTTAATCTCGACGAATTTTATGATGTATCACGTCTAAAGAGCACTACCTTTTCTTACAGCGGCGAGAAAGATGCCGGCGATAAGAAGGAGAAAGACAAGAAGAAAGGTGAGTAGTGTAAAACGCATATTGAAACTTGAAGACTTATCGATTCTAGCTGACATGGCCTTCATTAGCTATAATTATAAATCCAAGTTTATCGTAAACTTTTCTTCTTCTTTATGTCGTTCCGTTGCAATATTAATGACTTGAGAGTCGGCTGTCTATCGGAGACCTTCAAATAATATATCAAGATCAAGTAATTTTTCTGTATCTCTTTGTCGAGCAATAAAAGCAGCATTTTTAGCGAAACCAATGCCCGTGAAGATCTTTTGAGGATCTCTCTCGATGAGTGTTTTTCTTAAATTTCCAGAAAACGCCGTCCAACCACATTGTCACATCACGCTGAAGTGTACACGCGAGGTGAGTGACTCTTTCCGGCCCGGTCTTAATTTAGACACAACTTTGTGCAAGAGGAAAGAGACTCGGATTTGCCCGATAGAGACAGGTTGAGTTGCCGGCGAGTAAGAAAAAAAAAAGAGCAAAAGATACCAGTAACAAACTGTCGACGGCTCTTGTATCTCCTATACTTAGACGTCGTAGCGAGGCGGGATCATTATCCGTTCCTAAATTTACAGATCGCCGGCTTCAATGGTCTGAGTGACGCCCTGAAGAGGCTGGATTTTCTGTCCGCGGTACACGACTGCCGTCGATTCAATTACATAGTCCGTCTCCTGGATCTCCTCGTCAGTCATAGGATGGGCGGTCTTAGCGGATGCGCTCAGAGGGTGCTCTTCAATATGCTCGAGGAAGTTGCTCTGGAAGGTAAAAGGAGTTTACCAGCTTGTAAGAGTCCTTAGATAAACCCCATCGCGAAATTTGCCGAGCGATTTCGCGATATTTCCCTATGCTCGTTAACATCTCTTCAGGAAAAGAGTTTCCTGAAGAAAGGTGGACGGTTGTTATTCGTGTGCTGAACTGACCATTGTTTAGTGTCACTGTCGCAACAACAGACGGGAAGGCTGCGGCGTCTGATAGAGAGAGTTCGAGCTTTCAGTGCTGGCTGCTGCTGGGGCGGTAGACCCTTGGGCTCCATCATCCTGTGGGAAAAACACAAAGCGGCTCTAGAGAGAATCTTGCAAATTGCCTCGTCCATCACTATCACCCAGGTAACGTACTTGAAAAATTAAATCGGTACGCAGCGATTTCACCTGTTACAAAAAAATATTCATGATGAAGTTGATCGATAACGAGACGAGTCATTGTAGCCGGATGAGGAGCAGAAGCCCCAGTGGTCGGATCTGCCGCCTGAGTGCCGTCGAGAGGTCCTCCTACGCTTGAGCGATCCTCGAGACATCGAAGCCTCGTCCGAGGCGTGCGAACACCTTGCCGTTCTGGCGCAGGAACAGCGAATCTGGCGCGAACTCGCCCAGTATCATTTCACGCCACAGCAAATCGCTACCACCAGACAAAATAATCCTGGGAAAGACTGGAAAACTATATTCACTATCGCTCGGAGGTACGGCTGGTTCTCTTTTTTATGTGAGATCAGATTGTCCTGCATTCGACATTTTCCGTTCGTCAATACTGTATATTTTTGTCTGTCCAGATCGTTTGGATTACGAGAGGAGTACGCCGAAATGATACAGTTATGCCGCAATTGCCGTTGCCTGTTCTGGCGGTCGCTGGGCCATCCGTGCATCGCGGATCAGGATCCGGCGTTTCAGGAGAAACTGGCGGACGTCGACCAGGCGTCCCTCCACGTGCCGATCCCTCCGCAGACCTTCTTGAAATTTTTCTCGCTGTGAAAGCTTTCGCGACGCGACTATATTGAAAGAGCGCGTAAGAATGCGTGGTGTGTGTGTGAAAAGCGGAAGCGGCGACGTAACTGCTGTTGTGAACGACTGTTGCTCGACGGAACGAATGCTGTACATGTGAGAGAAAATAATAGAATAACGTTTAATAATGTTGCGCTGCATTTAGAGAGACTCTAAAACGTTATCTTCTGAAAAGTATATTAAACTCGAAATATATTCTTTCTTCTCTGTCTCTCAATATACCGTGTGAATCTGAAATTTAGATATCGGTATTAGGAATACGTCCTTTGAGAAATTCGACGCCAACCTTACCCGGAGGCCTACTTATCTAACGAACGAGCTTGAACGTTTAAGAGGCTCAAAAGCCGCCCAGGAAAAACACAAAGACACGTGTGCCTGCCACCCGATGCGCGGATCAATATCTTCTGAAGTTCCCAACTTTAATTGCTCCATAATCAACAACTCGCTCAGATCTTGTCGAGGAAAAGTCGACTTCGAACTTTCTCTAGTCGTCGAACAATATTCCCTACTGGTTTCCATTTCGTCAGGCACATCCTGTATCTTGATCGAGCGCGATTGGTATTTTCTCGTCGACGGAATCTCCCCCGTGTAATACGAGATTCCTGATCTGGTTTCCTTTGCTTCGAGATTCCTGTGGCGTGGATACGTTTCTAAGAACGATATAAGGGAGGATATTTCCATTATCCTTCGAATTACGGTTGTAGAGAGTAGATACTAGTCGTGTAATGTTGTTTGCGATGAGAAAAAAAGTCGTCGCGCGATTTACGCCGGCATGCTTTCGGTATTTCAAAGTTGACAAATGACTGCGTGCGATTTTTGCGGTAGCACCCCTCGAGGTACGTCTTCGCTGATAATATAGTATCAGCCTTTGCAGGTCCTTTATCAATTTATTTAGACGTTTGTTGTGCTGACAAGAAATCTCGAAGCAGATTTGGCTTTCTGCAACGAGCCACTTCGTTACCTGGAACGAACTCGATCTTAATTAATAAAAGAAAAAGGGAAAGCGCTCTAAACATCAAATTATTTTTTCTATTTGATATCGATGAAGACAATCGAGTGTATTCTCGAGGAATTCGCAGGAATCCTCATCTTCCGTCATTACAGAATTATTTCGTTGTATAAGAGCATTTTAAAAATGCAATGTACTCGTTGGTGCAACAGAGCAATGTTGTTTCTTGGATGAACATATTTTTGGTGCTCTTCGCGGCTCTATCGCATTTTCGTATTTGCATTTATTGACATGTGAATTCTTGTGTTATTCTTATTTTCTCCAATGGAAACATCCCCATTGCGTCAAAGGACATAATATATATTGCGCGTCGACTTTAAATTCATAATATATATAAGCTGCTGTCTTTTTGTGCAATATTTTGTGCAATATTTTTCCATCTTCTCTCTCTTCTTTTTTTTCTATCTTGCGGCGACGTAACGAGTCGTAGCGTAATTCTCGGTCAATCTATCGCAAGGGGGGTTCCAAGGGGCTTCTCTGACGCATATGGTAACGACGTTGCTATCGTGAGTTTCCGAAGGACAGCTTCAACGGTCTTCCGAGCGTTGTGATGAACATCTAGCTAACTTACAAAGTACAAAACGTGAACTATCATTATTGTCGGTCGAGAGCGGACGGGGACCTCGGTGTCCCGGTCGTCGCCTATACAGGGTGTCGCAGTTAAAGCAATACACAGAGAGATAGCGTGCGTTTGAACTTTTGGTGTTCTGTATGTTCGTTTGCGAGATAGGTCCTATACTTGCATTACTTACCGTGCGACGCGTTATACTATTCAGGCTATAAGCCGTCGACGGATTTCTAAGAGAAGACCTAAGTTACGATACATAACGTGTATTAATAAGTGAAAAAAAAAAAAAATGAAAAATTGCATCGCTGTATACCTAATCGGAGATTGAAAAAAAATCATACTGCCAAAGCCAAGGATGCTATTGCATTTAACAGACGAGAGACGACAACGCGACGTTTTTTGTGCATACCTTTTCCGCGCAGCGACGAGACGAGTTTTTTTGATATTCGCCGTTTTATTCGTAGCCGAAAAGCTTGCAAATCGCTGCATGACTCAAAACTGTAGGTATACTGACCTAGTCACTGGAAGAGAATAAGGCGATCAAAATCGCGGTCGAGTCGTGACTTGAAAAAACAAAACGTGACGACCGAGCTCGAGTGGAAAAAAATCCGAGAATCCTGGCAGCTCACTGTGTACATTAAAGAATCCAACGAACTTGGTCTCTGCATGGTGTGTGTACATATAAATATATATGACTATATCGAAGCGGATCTTGCGATCGGGATTATTTTACTTACGTAAGCAGGTGTGTAGAACAGTGTTGTGCAAAATGCTTCAAAATAAACTTTATTTAAATATATATAAATGCTGAAGTCGCTGGTCGATTAATGTAACCGTTGTCCCCGCAATCATTTTTTAACTTCAGTATTTGCAACTTCAA